GGAAGTTATTTAAGTAGTTTTCAAAAACAATTTCGGATTCTAATTTATACATTAATTTAACCCATTCTTTTTTAATGGTTTCCTGGGTTTTACAAGGTAAAGATTCAAAAGCTTTCCTAAGAGGTCTGTTCTCAGGGGTTTTGAAATTCTTTTTTAATCTGTAAATATCAGGCATAAAAAATTCTTTTTCCCTATTGATAGTGTATAATTGATGGGTTTTGTCATTTCCATCAAAAGCACTAGCAGTGGGTGACAGAGAAGGTGATGGAGTAAAAGCATCATTCTCTGTTTGTTTGAACTCTGTGTACCTAGACTTTAATGGGACACTTATGGGAGTGTACACTGGTCTAGCTACTGGGTCTGAGGAATTAGCGATTCCTTTCAACCTATGGTCAAGTTCTTTGGCAATCTCTCTGTCTCTATGGGAAACAGATGAGAAATCAGATTTTCTTCCTTCAGAAATCTGATCTTGCCTGGGGGTGAATCTGCAAGATCTAGTGGATCTGGCAGTGTCAAATGATATTTTTACTGATCCGTCAGGGAGCTGTTTAATAGTCTCCAGATCAGTTGTTGTTGACTCGGCACTAGATTCCTTGTCAAAATTCTCATTCTGTACAGTCCATGACTCGGTAAAGTCACATCTTTCCAAAGTAGCTGCTTTGGGACCTGGATGTTAGTCTGTGCAGAACTAGATTGAATTAACATAGTACTTCCTTTAGGACTTGGGTCAAGGCATTGTACATTTAAATTGGTACGAATACACTTGTAATAAATCCTATAGATAAGTACTAAGGAACTAGTATTTTGTACTAACCTGGTAATATCGCCTGTGAGACGGATACCAAGAGTTAGTGCCATGTGGGTATTAGGACAATGGAGGTCAAGGGTAAAGTCTGGGAAGCAGTTAAAGTAGACTGGACCTCGGTGGAGTCCTGTCTCCATGATTCCCAAGACACTTGGTTCCCAATCAAGAAACCTTGCATCTCTTAGTGCTAGTAAGGCAGCAGCATTCCTGCCTTGGGTAATAAGAGGCTTAATGGCCACTTGGACAAGACCTATGTGGATAAAATTAAATCCTTTGGCCTTGTGAATTTTAAGAGTCTCCTTACTGAGGAGCTCGCAAAGCTCATCTTCTTTCCTGAGAGGATGAACCTGTTCAACAGTTTTAACTTGGTGTTCTTCACTAAAGGTTTTCTGAACCCAAGTTGTGCTATAAATATTTTTTTCTTTAACTGGAGGAATATTCCATTTCTTCCAGTCTGTTCTAGTTTCTTCTATTTCTAATTCTTCCTCATTTACTCTATGTGGCATAGAATAATCTGAAGATCTAGATGTACTAGCTCTAGAATTAGATCTGAATAATCTACTCATTTTTGAAATCTAAATTGTTATCAAATTTTAAATTAATATGTAAGTTTGACGACACTAGACATACCCCCTAATCTGGCTCCAATTTCTCTCAACTTCTCGCCTGCGATCCACTCTTTGCCTCACACGGGACTTACTGTCGGGATAAGTGCGGCTTACGTACTCTTGAGGGTCTGGATTAAGGTTGGGTGCTAGGGTGCGAATCTACTTACAAATGAATTTAAAAGATGAAACAAATAAAGATTTCTAGATGAGTTAGATGACTCAAATCTGTTTCCCATAGAGACAGAGAGATTGCCAAAGAACTTGACCATAGGTTGAAAGGAATCGCTAATTCCTCAGACCCAGTAGCTAGACCAGTGTACACTCCCATAAGTGTCCCATTAAAGTCTAGGTACACAGAGTTCAAACAAACAGAGAATGATGCTTTTACTCCATCACCTTCTCTGTCACCCACTGCTAGTGCTTTTGATGGAAATGACAAAACCCATCAATTATACACTATCAATAGGGAAAAAGAATTTTTTATGCCTGATATTTACAGATTAAAAAAGAATTTCAAAACCCCTGAGAACAGACCTCTTAGGAAAGCTTTTGAATCTTTACCCTGTAAAACAAACCCTTATCAGGCCACACCACCCCAGATTCTAAGACTGGAATCTTAAAGGGAGAAGCTGTAACAGTTTTGTTAAAATATATATACTTATATATATATTATATATTATATAATTGTACATATTATATATTTATATATATATATATATATATATATATATATTTACCCATATCTGAACATCCAAAATTGTTCTCCTTGTTTCCAAAATTTTCAAAGAAAACTGTGAAAACAAGCTACACTTGTTTTCTATTTCTTTGACTCAAATCTCATTTTTTTCCAAAATTAAGAAAACAAAAATGTTAATAAAACAAGTTTTGGGTGTTTTTGAAATTTTGAGAACAAAAAACTGTTTTCGGATTACAAACCAAACATGACCTTAGTTTGTTGACAAGATCGCACCCAAAATCAACTGATGACAACCCTAGATATTCTGTGTATGTACCAATATCCCAGGCCGTTTAACCTAATATACTCTGATATTTGAGAACCCTCATCTGATACTGCTCTGTTAGGTACCCGATACTATATGACAATTATAGATAACAATAACTGTTGTACTTGGGTCTATCTTTTGTATAGGAAGTTCAATGTACTCCCTGTCATATCTCAATTTCTACAGATCATTAAAACACAATTCAACATCATTCTTTGTGCTCTTCATTCGAATAATGCCAAAGAATATGTGTTAGATGCCTTAGTGTCTCACCTTTTTCCCAGGGTATCTTTCAACAACTCACCTACCTATATACTTTTAAGTAAATTGGAGTTACTGAAAGGAAAACTGAGAGTCTAATAAGGATGATACGCTATATTCTTAGAGGTCTGGGGGTGCCCAAGTCTTATTAGCATTTTGCTATTTTGACTTTTATCTTTTTGTGCAATCACACACCCAGTCATGTTCTTCAGCATAAGGCTCCCTTATAGGTCTTATTTCGTGAGTGGACACTTTTCCTCACGTCTTTGGTTGTACATATTTTGTTCAGGATCGGTCTTTTACTCGTCATAAGCTTGATAATAAAACTATTTGTTGTATCTTTGTGGGCCACTGTCATCTGTCTAAGGCTATTCATGTTATGATCCTGTCCAGCCATATGTATCACAGTCTAGATGTTACCTTTCTTAAGCATATACCTTATTTTTCTACATCCAATCTCGTGTTTGTCTCTCCAATTGATGATACTCCCTTTGATTTTTGAGCCAGTTAATTTACTTGATGAGATTCTAACAGTGGAGGATGATGATTCAGGGCATCGTTATCTGCATCGTGACCACTGGCCAATTGTTCGTTATGGTTGGGCCGCTAAGGCTTTATATCCGATCTCGGGTTATATTTCTTAAACTGATCTGTCTCCTACATTTTGGGCTAATAATATGGCCTTAACAGACACGTTAGTTCCTTGCTCTATTCAAAGGCTATGTGGGAGCCTTAGTGGGTTCTTGCTATGCAGACAGAGATAGATGATCTTAGCGTAACCATACATAGGATTTTTTTTTTACCTTTAGGGGTGAAGCCTGTTGGTTATCGCTAGGTTTATACCCTGAAGTTTCTTGAGTACTTAGCTAACAGTAGGCAAAACATTTTATTTGCTGCCAGCCAAGTTAGTCAGTTCATGCACAAACTGTATCAGTCTCGTTTAGATGCAGTATATCATATTCTTCGGTGCCTCAAGTTTTGTCCTGGACTTGGGTTGTTCTATTCATCAGAGTCTTAGACCGATTCTCTAACCGGTTATTCAGATTCAAATTATAGGTGAGCTTATGATGGTTGATCTACTATAGGCTTTTGTGCTTTTGGAGGGACTCATCTTATCTCTTGAAAAGAGTAAGTAAGCAGTTGTCCCCCGTTCATCAGCAAAGACAGAGTATCAGGTACTGGCACTTGAAACATGTGAGGTTATTCGGCTATGATCTATTCTTGGCGATGGGATTTCCAGTGACTTCTCCATCTACATTATATTGTGATAATCGATCTGCTATTCAGCTCGCTTTTGACTCTATATCACATGAGAGGACGAAGCATATAGAGATCAATATTCACTTTCTTTGGGAGAAGGTCAGCTACGGTATTGTCACCCCATCGTTTGTGCGGACTAGTGATCAGGTTGCATATGTCTTCACCAATCCTGTCACTCCATCCATTCTCTGATATTTCATTGTCTAACTTGGTTTAATTGACATTTTTGCACCTAACTTGAGGGGAAATGTTGAAATTATAGTCTAGTTATTAGTTTTCTTTTTTTTCCCTTACTATGGTTTTTATGTCTTAAACCATAGGGGTGTTCTGGTCAATTGCACTCTTATTTGACTATATATACAGGGCTCTGCACTCAATTTGTGTATCTTTTTTTCTCAGAAACAATTCTAGTGTCATGATTGAAGTTACTAGATATAAGTTTATTTTTAAACAACGTTGAGGTGTTTAGGTTGTTTCCTTTTTCATGGTTGAATTATTGTATTTGAGATATTTTGAGATTCTTAGTTAGATGATGTTGAATATTGTTCTGTTGACTTACTGGATTGTATTATTTAGGTATGCTCTTATGATTTTAAAAGTTCTTAAACAGATCATGTCTTTTTATAAAATTAGGGCGTGACAAAGTGTCTGATAAGTTATTCACTTGAGAGCTTCATCAACAATACTTTAGAAAATTATATACTATTGGTCATAAATTTGTAGTATGCAGTTTATTCCTTTTATTATGCCATTTTCATCAGAAACTCAAATCAACATTCTAATCACATTATGAGTTTAAACTAAGTTTCGCATTTCGAGTTCATCAAATTGATCAATGAAAAGCAAGAGGCCATGTCATGGTATCTCATAAATATTTACAAATGCCATATTTGAGGCGAGTATACTTTTTATAACTGTTTTACATAGTTAGTATGCTTATCAGTTGGTACTTTTTTCTGAGCCTCAGAAAGTTGAATGAGTCCTACATCCATGTTTGATAAGTCATAAGAACTTAGGAGTAATTTATGTACCACCGTATAAATAATATTACAATCATGCCAGAATGGAAGAGCAGGGCTAACCTCTTTAATTTCATGCCACATGTCTTTTGCTGTGATAGTCGAGGAAGACCCAGATATCAAAAAGCAAGGGCACTCAGAGATATGGACCTCATCCGTCCCCTTAGCAGCAATGCAAAAAGTTACGGGATGGTGTCCATTTGCAGTTCTATACAAATGCAAACTTGCATCAGGGATGAAAGGCTAATCTATCAAACAAAAACAAAGGACCGTCTATCTATCAGAACAGGGAGCAAAAATATATTGTCTGATAAAGAAAAGGAACATACTTGTGATGCAGAAGCACTCCGTGGACACTATCTCGCATCCTGGACGATACAAGGCATCATAAGTCAAAACACATCATAGACTTGCAATATGAGAGATCTAGGGTGACACATAATGGCAAGGATGCTAGCTACCAGAAAACAATTAAATTACAGTAATCACACAAGAAATTCCATCTGAATCGAAAAGACAAAAGGAAGTATTCTCACATGTATTTTGAATTAAAATGATGACCAGAAAATCCTGAGACCCCACCAACCGAATTCTGGACACAAGTAAGCAGAGTACAGTAAGTCGCACTTGCAATTTTTGCTGCACATTGAAAAACCCTATGTTGCATCATGGCTTTAAGCCAATTCTAACAGAAACCACCATACTTTTAATATTGAATGGATTATATTCAACTCAACCTAACAAAGTGTTGTCCCAACATTTTTGGGGTCGGCTAATATTGAATGGGTTATATGTAGAACATTTGAAATCTAAGAACACGATACGAAAATTTAGCAACTATTAATTTATTTATTTTTACTTTCTCCTCCCTTTTTGTTCTGGTTTTGGATAGATCTATTTACTATGTAAGTATTTTGTATCTTTTCTTTGTTGAAGGACAGTCGAGGTTATTGTTATTGGACTAACCACAGAGAGAGAGAGAGAGAGAGTGAGAGAGAACACAATAGTCAAATGCATTTAATCCAAATTCACACAATAATGAATCAACATGGCAGAAAAATTTGTCTTACAGCCCAGGTAAAAAGCAAGGTGACATCTGCAGCAGTCTTTCCAGAGTTGGAGAGCTGCATAAAGCATAAAGCATAAAGAACAACTTAAGAAAAAGAGGCCCACTCAATTCTATTACACAGAGTCTTTCAACAGCAGTTTCCTACCGTGAATGTAAATACTGTTACAGGGAAGCTGCTCTCCTTGTAGTTATGCGGAATAAATGGTGAAATCTGGCGACAAATTATCTTAAGCTCCGGGTCAGGAGCACCTGCACAAGAGAGGCGGATGGGAAAGAAGGGTCAGTCACACGTAAAGGGAGCTGTCATCAATTTTATGCATTCTTGAAATTTAAGCCTTCTAATGATGAATACCATCGTATACAGTCCAAGCTCTGGGAAACAAAGCATGATATGTGCATTTCTCCCCTTCAAGGCTCCAATCCCAGGACTCAATACCTGATCCTGTACTTTCTCTGTGCATTCTGTTACTATTAGCAAAATGCACTATATTTTGTTGCCTCATACTCCAAACTAGGATTTTTACTTACCATTCAACAATTATTTTTGTACCACGTCTATTATCTATCAAAATATCAAACTGGAAGAAATGCAAGGATATTCAATTCTTCAAGGGACATAATGAACTGGCTACTCACTTGAGCACCTCTGGGTTTCCAGAGCATAATACTGTTGAATGTTTCTCTCCAGTAGGGCGTGAAATAAAAACCTAAATGAGGGAAAGGTGCCAAGAAATCTTTTAATTGCTGGTCATCAATACTTCGGATAGACTACAATTTTTGAGTTTTTTTCTCTTTTAAGATGAACTGTTTTATTTTTCCCATACCTGCTAGACTGACTTAATTGCAACAATTTCAGATACTTGAATTATCTAGAAATGAAAAACATTGGTAATTAAAAAAAAACACAGTTTCCAAGTATTTACCCTCATGAAAAACAAATATGCAGGAAGCACTTGTATGGTAGGTTAAATATCTAAGAGAAAATATGTGAACATATTCATTTTTTCAGAATGATTTATTGGTTAAGCACTCCACACAAAAACGCACTCATTAGCAGACACTTGTGCTCTATTTAAAAAGATTACACTCACTTTAGTCCCCATAAATGGATGTCTGGGGATGGACTGAATCAGACATAAACTTTGGCAGTATTTGCACAGAGTGATTGTACTCATATTCCAACCATAATATTAGGGTTACAGTGCTGAACTTTAATCAAAAACCGAAGTACACTTGCACTCCAGATCTCTAAAGAAACTCATGGGCAAAAATTATGGCTTTCTCTTCTGTTATATCTTTTATTATCACTGTTATTGTTGTCGTTATTGTTATTTATCCATCTCATGGAGACGGATATACTGTTGCAACAGTAATCATAGCTACAAAAGAAGTACATAATATGACAATATTGTATTATAAACATCACATCCTCTCGAACAGATTATATTATTTTGTAATAAAAGCTTCCTTCATAATTGAGTCCAATATCAAAAGTGCTGCTTCAGCATTGTAGCACGATGAAAGCCATTCATTTGGTTGAAGCATAATATTTATGTTAAGAGTATTAGGGTAGTATATGTAAATTGTTAATAATGTTAGGGTATTATGTGTAAATACCAGAGAGTGTATGTGTAATTCTTATTATTGTGAGTTAAATATGAATACAAGTGATTTATGAGAGTTAGGTTAAATTTTTAACCTCTCTGTTTCTCTCTAATATTGTGTTAATCTTCTACATTTAATATGGTATCAGAGCCATTACGATCATAAACACACACACACACACAGATATATATATATGTGTGTGTGTGTGTGTGTGTGTGTTCTGAATAAATTAATTTTGGGTAATGTTCGTTGAAACCATCGTGGTGGTGGGGATACTGTTGTCGTGGTTGATCGAGGTGTTGTAGTGGTTGCTGTCGTGGTGGTGGAAGTTGACTTGGTGGCACTGTGTTGTGGAGGTATTGTTGCTGAGGTGGTGGCAGTCGACGTTGGTACAGTCGACTTGGTAGCGCCTTGCTTCGTGGTGGTTTAGTCGACGTTGGTGCAATCGACTTGGCCTTGCTTGGTTATGTGCTTCATGGTTGGGCAGTCGGCGCTGGTATAGCCGACCTTGGTGCAAAAATTAGGGTTTTGTTGAAACCCTACTTAGTGAAGAAGACGAAAATCCAAGTGGGTCGGGTTTCGGGTAACGGGTCCAAGTCCACGGGTATACCTATTCTTAAACCCAGATCCAGATCCAAACCCGAATCCAAGTCCAATTCAGTTTCAAACCAGACCGGTCCAAGTCCGGCTCAGACCCGGTTCAACCCTGGTTTGATCCAGACTCAGCCAGTTCAGGTAGTTTTACCCCGGTTCAGACCGGTTCCTTCAATCTTTTGCTCCAGTTCAATGGTCCAGAACACTTCTAGAGTCCGATTCACCTAATTTTTATACCGGTTCAACTCGGTTCACCTAGTTTCTATACCGGTTCAGCCCGATTCAGTTAGTTTTTACTCTGGTTCATCAGACCAGTGACCTCAGGCTGCCCGGTTCAGCAATCCAACAGTCTCTTTTCCTCTGGTTCAGCATTCCAGTAGTCCGGTTCACTTCTTGTTTGCTATTTGCTGCACTATTATGGAACCCAAGCAAGATACCAGGTGCCTTACTCCATCTTTACCTCCTCTGACTCTTATTAATGGTCTCATGACCTCTGTCAAACTCAATAGGACTAATTACACTTTATGGTCCTGATCTGTTCAAGTCTTTCTTCGAGATAAAGGATTTAAAAAATATTTGGTGAACCGTAAACCCAAGGAAGACACTCCTGGATATGATCAGTGGAAATAAGAGGATCCTCAAATTATTTCTTTACTATTGAATAGCATTGAGTCTAGTATTAGTTCTACTCTATTCTACCTTGATACTATCAAGGAGATATGGGATCACTTGGCCACTATGTATTCTGGTACTGGTAATTTTATCCGAGCTTATGAGGTGTGCAAGGAGTATTTCCGACTGAAACAGAGTACTCTGAGCATTGAGGATTATTATTCTCATGTTAGGGAAGTCTGTGAGGAGATGAAGACCTACCATCCATTTACTACTAATGTAGCAGTTTGGCAGAAGCAACATGATGACATGAATATTGTTAGGTTTTTGGTAGGTTTGAAACCTGAATATAAGGTTATTCGTTATTAGATTTTGAGTGGTTTTAGTCTTCCCTCACTACTTGAGAATTTCTCTCATATATAGCGTGCTACTTTGTCTACTTCAGGTATCAATCATGGTGTTTCCACTGATCACTCAGCTCTTATGGTTCCTAGTAGCCATAGTGATGGTCATCGAGGTGATCGTGGTGGTCGAGGAGGTCGTACGGGAGGTTGTGTGAGTGGTCGTGGGGTCGTAGTGGACCACATTCCTATACTCACTGTGGTCGTGGAAAGCATATTGTTGATTTTTGTTGAGATTTATATGGAAAACCTTCTGGTACTGCGAATCGATTTTTTATCAGGTTGACACCTCTGCTGAGGCTTCCTTACCTTAGTCAGCTCCACCAGACACTGGGTCGATTACTATTACACGAGAGGAGTATGTTTAGTTCATGTTCCAGTAACAGGCTGTTCCATCTCCCTCCACTACTACTTTTGCCCAGTCAGGTACTGTTTTCACTTGTTTATTGTCCTCCACTCGCAATCCTTAGATCATAGACTCTAGCGCCTCAGCCACATGACTAGTGCGTCTAATGTTTTTTCTACGTATCAGTCTACTACTTCCACATGCAGTATTACTCTTGCTAATGGTACTTGTTCTAAAGTTTCAGTTCTGGGGACTACTCACTTGAGTCCTGATAAGTCCCTATCTTCCGTGTTATTTGTTCCTTAATTTCTTTTTAGTTTATTTTTCATTAACAAAATTACTTGTTCTCTCAATTGTTCTATAACTTTTTATCCCTCTTATTGTGTCTTTCAAGATCTCAAGACGAAGAGGAAGATTGGTACGGAGCATGAAGCTTGTGACCTATATTACTTTGATTTTAATTCACCTACTCGAGCTCTACAGGCCTCGTTGTCCCCCTTTCAATGGCATTGTCATCTTAAACATTCCTCTCTCCCGAATCTGAAACGTCAAGTTCCCCATCTAAGTTGTGTGTTGTCTTTATCTTGTGAAACTTGTCAACTTAGTAAGCATCACCATGTGTCATTTCAGTCTAAAGTTAATAATCGTGTGTCTAGTCTATTTGAGTTAGTACATTCTGACGTATGGGGTCCAATAAAAAATATTTCATCTAATAAATATCCTTATTTTGTGACATTTGTAGATGACTATTCTCATATGACTTGGTTGTTTTTTATGAAAGTTCAATCTGAATTATTTGCTATATTTGAGACATTCGTAAGGAAATAATAACTCAATATGGTTGTCGTATACGTATTTTACGATCTGACAATGCTCGGGAATATGAATCTGACCCTTTTTCAGCTTACCTTAGTAAAATAGATATTATTCATCAGACTTCTGTGCGTACACCTCTTCACAAATAGTGTTGCTAAATGCAAGAACCGTCATTTGTTGGAAGTCACTCATACCCTGTTATTCCAGATGCAAATTCTTCAATATTTTGAAGTGAAGTTATTTTTACTGCTTGTCACCTTATTAATCGTATGTCATCCTCTGTGTTAAATGAACAAAGTTCATATTCTGTCCTTTTTCCTAGTAAGCCCTTATTTTTCCTAGCTCCTAAGATTTTTGGATGTGTCTATTATGTTCACAATTTGGGTCCCGGGTTTGATAAACTTTGACCCTCGAGCTACCAAAAGTGTTATTTCTTGGTTATTCCCACACACAGAAGGGGTATCGTTGCTACAGTTCTTCTCTGCGACGATATTTCACTAATGCTGATGTCACGTTTGAGGATCTGTTCCATATTTTTCAGCACCTTATCAACCTTTGGATCTGGACTTTGGGTCATCTCTTGTACCACCATCTCCTCCCTCAGATATTTTGTTACCCACTGTGTTACCATCTACTTTACCTCTTTGTGTATACCATTGACTAAGGT